AGTCCAACCCCCTGCACAATGCAGGAAATTCACCAATACCCCAGTGATCCCTGTTCCATGCCCAGAATATGATTTTAAAAACCCTCCAGGATCACTGGGGGACAACCTGGCCTGGAGAAAAATTGCTTCCTGGCCCCAAAGTGGCGATCAGCATTTCCCTGGGCATGTAATAAAGGGCCACAAGAACTAAGCACTGATGCAACCCTTTCTGCTGTACCTCTAGTGATTTGCCTAAGTTCACACAATCAGCATTATGATCCTTTTAAAGCTGAAAGCTTTAACATAAATGCAAAGGACTATTTGTAAGATTATCTGTAAGACACAAGACCAGGACGCATCTCACTTCTGGCAATCACTTGGAGAGACCCGATCGCTCAGCTTCCACTGCCCCACACGCACCCCACACTGGAATAAGAACATATCATCAGGCCATACCACATTGCAATAAAGCCCCTACAACTGTATACAGAAATACTGAGCTTCCCTACCATTTGCCACAACTAGCCCACCACACAACCAGGATCAAGACTCCGAAGTGGACCAACAGACAGGCATACACTCGTTTGAGAAACTGAGTATTACATCACAACACCTCTGGAACATTACAGATCAGTAGAGGCAGCCCTGCACAGTGGGCAGAGTTGCAGATTGATGAGTTGCAGATTGATGTGGGGAGACCAGGGTTGGTATGCTCACTCGGCTGGCTGAGTGCCCCCGGGCCAAATCTCCCCTTCTCTACCTAACCTACCCCACAGGGTTGTTGTGAGGATGAAATGGAGACTCATGGGCAGGGTCCCCAGCTTCCCTGGCAGGAAGACTATGTTAAGAAATCTCTCACAATTATGCAGCCATAGCAGGCAGGAGGGAAGGAGGCGAATACCTCCAGCGCCAGAGACTTGTAGAGGAAGAGTGAAACTTTGGGGACTCACCCGTGCACCAGAGGGCCAAGGCAGCAGGAGGCAAGAAGCCCGGGCGAGCAGGAGGCAGGGGGGCACACAGGAGAGGTGGAATTTGCCCCTATGAGTCCAAGGCCACCACCCCGGGGATCAGGGAGGCAGGAGAACCTTTCGCCCCCCCCTCCCCCGCGGGCGTCACAGTTGCAGCTGAGAACAGTGCCGGCGGCCATAACTTTTAAAAGAGCCTCTAACCAGACCTGGGGGAGCCAGAATGACCTCTCATGTGTGATGTCCGAGCGGCATTGCCGCTCTCACACGCGAGAGGTAGAATTTGCCCCTATGAGTCCAAGGCCACTACCCCGGGGCTCAAGGAGGGAAAAGAACGGTTCGCCCCCTCCCTGCAGGTGCTGCAGCTGCGAACAGCACTGGCGGCCATAACTTTTTAAAGAGCCCCTAACCTGACCTGGGGGAGCCAGAATGACCTCTCATGTGTGATGTCCGAGCGGCATTGCCGCTCTCACACGCGAGAGGTGGCATTTGCCCCTACAAGTCCAAGGCCGCCACTCCGGAGCTCAGGGAGGCAGGAGAACGTCCACCCCCCCCCATGGGTGTCGCAGCTGCTGCCGAGAACGGCGGCCATAACTTCTTAAAGAGCCCCTAAGGAGAGCTGCGGTGGCTCAAGTGGTTAAGATGCTGAACTGCAGGCTGTGGAAGGTCAGTAGTTCAGCAGTTCGAGACCCGAGTGCGCCGCGTGACGGAGTGAGCTCCCGTGTCTATTTCCAGCTCCTGCCAACCTAGCAGTTGGAAAGCAAGACATTGCAAGTAGATCAATAGGTATCGCTTCGGTGGGAAGGGAACAGCTTTCCGTGCGCCTCGGTGTTTAGTCATGCCGGCCACATGACCACAGAAATGTCTTCGGACAGCGCTGGCTCTTCGGCTTGGAAACGGAGATGAGCACCGCAACCCTAGAGTCGGATTCGACTGGCTTTCGAGCAAGGGAACCTTGACCTTTACTTTAAGGAGCGCTGGGGGAGCCAGAATGACCTCTCGCTAGAGGTGGGATTTGCCCCTAGGAGTCCAAGGCCACCACCCCGGGGCTCAGGGAGGCAGGAGAACGTTTCGCCCCGCCCAACCAGCCAGCGTCTCTCCCCCAAGACATAACTCTGCCCAGAGAGGAGGACACACTTCATGCATCAAGTCCACAAGAGCTTATGCAAAAGCAAACCTCCCTTCTTTAGATACGTCTATTTAAACCCACCAATACATCGAAAGCACCCCGAGAGAGCCCTCCCCACCCCCCACTCTGTCCCCTCCATATCCGCCCGTCTTCCTTTCGGCTCCCCGGGCTAACCCCCCGCACGGTCGAACGGCAGCCGGAAGTGTGGGTTCCCGTGTGCGAGAGGCGGCCTTCCTCTTTGGCCTGTCTCTATGGTTTCCCCCCCTGGGCGACGAAGCGCGGACTGATGACGATTGCGGAAGGCGAAGGCGCCCGGCGTCGCAGGGCGCCCCTCTGCGGTGGAGGGCGCGTGAATGTAACGTCAGGAGGCAGGCGAGAGAGAGTGCCGGCTGAGGAAGAGGATGGAGGAGAACGAGCAGCTGCGGCGCCAGATCCGTCTGCTGCAGGGTGAGGGGGGGACGAATCAGGGGCGCGGTCGGGGGAGAGGGAGGGGACCCAGGCGTCCGGGGCGGGGCGGGGGGCCGTGAGAGGGACCCAGGCGTCCGGGCTCCCTTCCCTGCCCTTTGGGGTGAGGCCCAGGGGCCCCTCACGGGCTGCCGGCAGGTTGTCACCTTTGGGGCGGTGTTCCCCCTAAGCTGAGTGAGTGTGAGCCGGCTCACAGTTTTTTAGCCTCCGGCTCACACATTTCTGTCTTCGCTCAGGAAGGGGTGGGGGGCTCCAGAGCAAACTGATTGATGCAGCAGCCAAATGGCTCGCTCCCCACTTTGGGGGGGGATTCGTGTGCTGCCTTTCCAGGAGCCTGCTTGAGGGTGCTTATAGATCACAGAATCACTGAATGTTTGAGTTGGAAGGGACCTTCCAGGTCATCTAGTCCAACCCCTTGCACTCTGCAGGAGCAGAGTCGAAAGAGAGCCCTACACAGAATCATAGAATGTTAGAGTTGGAAGGGACCTTGCAGGTCATCTAGTCCAACCCCCTGCACTCTGCAGGAGCAGAGCCGAAAGAGAGCCCTACATACCTACAACATACATGAAATATGGTCATTCAGCCTCCGCTTAAAGACGTCCAGCAAAGGAGTATCCACCACCTCCCGAGACAGACTGTTCCACGGCTCAACCACTCTTACAGTCAGGAAGTCTCTCCTGATATTTAGCCGGTATCGACTCCCTTGTAATTTCCACCCATTCGATCTAGTCTTGCAATCCGGAGCAAGAGAGAATAGATCTGCTCCCTCTTCTACATGACAGCCCTTCAGATATTTAAAACAGCAATCATGTCCCCTCTAAGCCTTCTCTTTTCCAGGCTAAACATACCCATCTCTTTCAGCTCGTTCAGATATTTAAAAAATAATTAAAAGAATACATTAAAGTACTGTATCTCGTAAATCAGGGTTGGGTGGCTGTGTTAGTCTATGAGCAGCAGGGAAGAGCAAGAGGCCAGGAGCACCTTAAAGACTAATTTAAAAATTGTGGCAGGGGAGGAGCTTTCGTGAGTAACTGCAGTCACTTCTTCAGATACAGCTGGAATGAGAGTCTATCTGTCCTTATATTACCTGGTTGATGGGTTTCCGTTCTATACGGCTAATTGTGATGCCTTCCATAGCAACAGGTCAAGATGGGCAGCTGTGGTAGTCTGTCTTTAGGCGCTCAAAAGAGCAAGACTCCAGAAGCACCTTGAAGACTAATAAAGAAAAAGAGGCCAGCAACACCTTAAAGACTAATTAAGGATTGTGGCAGGGTATGAGTTTTCCTGAGTCACTGCCTCACTTCTACAGATACACCTGGAATGGGAGTCCATCTGTCCTTGTATCACCAGGTTGATGGATTTCCATTCTGTACGGCTAAATGGGGTGCCTTCCATGGAGACAGGTCAAGATGGGTAGCCGTGTTAGTCTGTCTGTAGCAGCACAAAAGAGCAAGAGTCCAGGAGCACCTTAAAAAGGTAAAGGTAAAGGTTCCCTTGCTCGAAAGCCAGTCGAGTCCGACTCTAGGGTTGCGGTGCTCATCTCCGTTTCAAAGCCGAAGAGCCAGCGCTGTCTGAAGACGTTTCCGTGGTCATGTGGCCGGCATGACTAAACACCAAGGCGCACGGAATGCTGTTACCTTAAAGACTAATAAAAGATTGTGGTAGGGGAGAAGCCTCCGTGAGTCACCACTCACTTCTTCAGATAGAAAAGAGCAAGAATCCAGAAGCACTTTAAAGACTGATAAGACATTGTGGCAGGGTAGCAGCTTTCGTGAGTTACTGCTGACCTCCAAGATGGGCAGCCATGTTAGTCTGTAGCAGAAGAAAAAAGCAAGAGTCCAGGAGCACCTTAAAGACTAACAAAATTTGTGGCAGGGGAGGAGCTTTGGTGAATCACCGCTCACTTCTTCAGATAGAGAAGAGCGGGAGTCCAGGAGCACCTTATAGACTCACAAAATCTGTGGCAAGGGAGGAGCTTTTGTGAGTCACCGCTCATTTCTTCAGATACAGCTTGTATTTATTGGAAAGTGGTTTCAGATGTCAAATGACATTTAGCAGGCAATCATGCAGGCAAATCACCTGCTATTGTCATTTGCCAATAAATAGGGCAGATGGACTTTCATTCTACCTGTATCTGAAGAAGTGAGCAGTGACTCACGAAAGCTCCTCCCCTGCTCTTTTTGACTGTTCCTGGTAAGTTCTTGTTCCTTTCCCCCCTTTCCTTCGAGAGCTTTGGGTTGTTACCAATGTTCCCTCTAAGCTGTGGAGTCTAGTGAGCAAAAATTCTACTTTGTGAGTTATTGGCATTAAAGTTGTGAGCAAGCAATTTGGCTACTGCAAAGATTAGTTTGCTCTGGAGCCATCCTTCCCGAACTAAGACAAAAATGTGTGAGCTGGAGGCTAAAAAACTGTGAGCTAGCTCACACTAACTCAGCTTAGAGGGAACACTGGTTGTTACAATGACCCTGTGAAATCAGGGTCGCCAACTCTGTCTTTGGAAATTCTTGCAGATTTGTGGGCAGGGCCTGGGCAGGACAGAGGTTTTTTTTTGGGGGGGGCCTCAGTGGAGCACAGTGCCGTAGCTTCTGCCCTCTGAAGCGGCCATTTTCTCCGGGGGAAATGATCTCTGTATTCTGGAGACCAGTTGAAATCCAGGCCCTACCTGGAGGCTGGCAACCCCAGACGTTAGTTAGTTAAGCCGAGGGAATATGACTGACCTAAGGCTAATCCTGTGATCATTACTGCTGAACAGGGGTTTGAACCTGCGTGTCTCTAGTCCTAGTCTGATATTATAGCTGCTACCGACTCTCTCTGCGCTTTCTTAGTACATTTTTATCCCTTTCTCCCTTACACTAAGGAGCTCAAGATGGTGTACATCAATGCTCCCTCTAAACTGTGGGGTCTTGTGTGCAAAAATCCTATTTTGTCAGCTACTGGCATTAAAGTTGTGAGTGAGTGATCTGGCTGCTGCAGAAACTAGTTTGCTCTGGAGCCCCCCTTCCTGAGCTGAGACAAAAAACTGTGAGATGGAGGCTAAAAGACTGTGAGCTGGCTCACACTCACTCAGCTTAGAGGGAACACTGGTGTACGTTTGTTCTCATTTCAACCCTGTGGGGTTTTTAGGGGTTGAGCTAGAAATGTAAAATTTCTGGAAATTTTGAAGCTCGGAAAAAAACCCGTTTTTTTCTCCAGTTTTTTTTTTGGGAAAAACGGACATTTTCGGAAAAATTGAAAAAAAAATGCTACATTAGCATTTCTTTTGTCTTTTCTAGATTGAGAGTCATTCTGTTACTTTAGGAACATAAAATATGACTATGGACATTTTTACTTGGCATGAAATCATCACAACTAGCATATTAAAAATATAGTGTATCCAAACAATTATTACAAACAGAATACCCCCCCCACATGCAAAAACAAAACTGAAACCTTTTTCTTTTCTTGTGACAATCGCACCTCCTAAAGGAAGAAATGCATCTTGTTCTTGCATTGGAGAGTTCAAACACTAAGATAAATCCAGACAGACAAGGCTGTCCTCAGGGGCTAGCTTTTGGGACCAAGCAAAAGGTCCTGGGGTGGAAAGTGCCATCGAATCGCAGCTGACGTATGGCGATGACCCCATCGGATTGTCAAGGCCAGAGACGTTCAGAGGCGGTTTGCCATTGCCTGCCTCTGCATAAACAGCCCTGGGCTTCCTTGGTGGTCTCCCATTCAAATACTAACCAGGGCCGACCCTGCTTAGCTTCTGAGATCTGAGGAGATTGGGCTAGCCTGAGCCATCGAGATCAGGGTAAAAGGTAGGGGGAGGTTGAATGGACCTGTAAGCAGATGGGATGTTATTTGGAATGGAATATTTTAGTGACGTTTTGTATGGAATATTTTAACGAGAGGGCAAGCTGTATGTTTGAGAGTAGTGTCACATTCCCCATGGTGTTAATATATGGGTCTTTGTAAGAGATGTCGTAATATGAAGAAAATGTTTACTCTCCTTCTAGAATGGCCTTTGAACATACGGTTAACGGAAGCTCTCTGCTCCTTTTGTTTCAGGGCTTATCAATGACCATAAAAACATCCACGGGAACGCACCGGTCCCCCAGCCGGCTCCAGTGCCCCGGTGGAGGAATCCCCGGCCGCCGTCTTTTAGCAACCAAGCTGTTTTCTCTGCTAGATATCCCCAGCAACAACCCCAAAGGGATTTCCTGCCTCGCCCCCACAATGCCTGGAGGAAGAAATACTCTCTTGTCAACGTGCCGCCTCGGCCCACACTCCATCCTGGCGGCAGCGCTTCAGCCAGCAGCTCCCGAACTGTCCCGAGCCAAGGAAAGAGCGAGGCCGCCGAGGCGCAGCCGTCGCTTTCGGGAAGAAGAGTAGGTGTGGCCGGAGACGATAACACAATTGTCGGGGTGCCGATGAGCTCAGTCGTGAGAAACGCTGCTGTCCCTGCCTCCCAGGGTGCTCCCTCCGAAGCAGCAGGGCACCCGTCTCCTTCCAGAAGCTGTGCAATCTCTGCTTTGACTCCGAGCGTCCCCTCGAAAGAGAGCAAACCAGAGCCTCTCTCGGCAGTGCCTCCCTTGTTGCATCACCAGATTGTCGCTAGGGGTAGGGACGACTCCCTTTCGGTGTGTGTCTCTGTGCCCTCGAGGACAGTGCCGGGTGCCTCGGAACTGGCCCTGGATTCGTGCAGGATGATCAGCGAGCAGGCCATCACGTTGAAAACTGGCCCTCAGCGGCCTCTGACCTCGCCCGGGCGTGAGTCAAGGTGCCTTTCCGCAAGGAAGAGCTCTGTGTCGCGGGTTCCAGCTTTGCAACAAGCCTCCGCGGCAGGGGGCAAATCGAGCCCCGCGGGGATGACTCAGGCGCCCAGTGCACTTGCCAGTGCAGTCGGGCAGGCTCCTTCGGCTCTTGGGATGAGTCCCACGAAGAACAAGCCGTCTGCGCCTGCTCTCCAGACGGCTCCCACCTCACCAGCCTCCTCCAAATCCCCCAAGTTCAGGAAAACCAAGTACACGTGGGTGGCCAACCCGGGTAAATGTACCCGCGCTTCGAAAAGATGGTCTGCCTCCAGAGCCGCCGAAAACAGCCAGAGGTTTGCCACGGGGGCAGAGAGGACCTCCAAGTCGGTACCGAGGGGGGACCCGGGGGCAAAGCAGAAGAAGCCCAGCCTGCATTCGAAGGCGGGGGGTTCCTCCAGCAAGTACAAATGGAAGGCCTCCAGTCTCCGCCTCTCCCCGTCCGTATCCACGTCTGCGTTCACGTGGCAGCGCGAGGAACGTGGCGGGCCTGGCGCGGCCCACTTCTCAGGAGGCGGCTCTTCCCTCCCAGCCGCGAGCCGGATGCCTCTTGGTCTTGGCGATCCGAAACCGACCTTTGGGAATACCAGCTTTCTAAACTACAAGTTAAAGAGCCGGACCAAAATCATCAAAAAGAAGGGAAGTGCCAGGTACGTGGCTTGTTTGCCTGTGGCCAGCGTTGCAGCTTTTCTAGCCTTTTTCTTGACCACCCCAGTTTTGCATCTGAAACGAAGAAGAAGAAGAGATTGGATGTATACCCCGCCCTTCACTTGGAGTCTCAGAGCGGCTGACAAACTCCTTTCCCTTCCCCTCCCCACAACAGACACCCTGTGAGGCGGGTGGGGCTGAGAGCGCTCTTGACAGAAACTGCTCTTTTTCAAGAACAGTTCTTGTCAGAACTATGGCTTGCCCAAGGTCATCCAGCAGGTGCAAGTGGAGGAGTGGGGAATCAAACCCGGTTCTCCCAGATTAGAGTCCACGCACTTAACCACTACACCAAACTGGCTAAGACTAAGATGAAGAAGAGGAGGAGGAGGAGATTGGGTTTATACCCCGCCCTTCACTACCCAAGAGAGTCTCAGAGCGGCTCACAAATGCCTTTCCCTTCCCCTTCCCCTCCCCACAACAGACACCCTGTGAGGTCAGTGGGGCTGAGAGAGCTCTGACAGAAACTGCTCTTTTTCAAGGACAGCTCTGACAGAACTACAGCTTGCCCAAGGCCATCCAGCCCGGTGCAAGTGGAGGAATGGGGGAATCAAACCCGGTTCTCCCAGATTAGAGTCCGCGCACTTAAGCACTACACCAAATTGGTTCTCACCAAACAGTGCGCTTCGCCTTCTGTGGAATTGCAAAGGTTGTGTGAGTAATAGGAAGATTTCGAGACCTAGGGAAGATGTTCAGATGATAGGACATTATGTATCTGTTTGGGACTTCGGCTTAGGCAGTGTAATGCAGTGAGATCCTAAAAGGAAGACCTGAAAAGCCTCCGTAGCATCCATGAGGACTTCCAGTGGCACCTGAAATAAGATCTTTGTATGCCTGATTCATATTTCTAGGATCTTGGGAGATGCTTATGACTTTTCCAGCTCTAGAGTCTGGAGTCCAGTATCACCTCTGGGACTGCGCTACTTCAGTGTGCCCACTTTGCAGTTGTATGTCTAAATGCTCCCCACATCAATTACCTTCTTCCTTTAGAAAACCTAATATATTACGACGAAGATTCCTAGTCCACACACTATCCCCTGGTGAGCTCGATTTCAGTGGGCTTGTGTTCTGTGAGCCTTCACTTAAGTTATATTTTGTCTGCTTTGCAAAACACACATTCAGGATGGACAGAAGGAAGCACTTCTTCACACACTGGTTGATTAAAATGTGGAATTCTTTGCCAGAGAATGTAACAAAGGCACAGACGGCTTTAAAAGGGGATTAGATAGTTTAATGAAGTAGACATCTGTCAGTGGCTACTAGTTTGTTGTAGTGGTGAGGAGTGCAGACTCTAATCTGGGAGAACCGGGTTTGATTCCCCACTCCTCTACATGCAGCTGCTGGTGTGACCGTGGGTCTTAACTATAAGAACTTTATGTTCTTTCAGAGCTGTTCTCTGAAGAGCAGTTCTCAAAAGAGCTCTCTCAGCCTCACCTACCTCACAAGCTGTGTGTTGTGGGGAGAGGAAGGAGTTTGTGAGCCGCTCTGAGACTCCTTTGCGTAGTGAAGGGTGGGTATTAATCCAATCTCCTCCTCCTCTTCCCCTTCTCCTTGCCACGTTCAGAGTCAGTCAACCTCTGAATGCTAGCGCCAGGAGGCAACATCAGGGGAAGGACTCATCCTCTCTGCCCTGTTGTTGGCCCTCCAGAGGAACTGGTTGGCCCCTGTATGAGACAGGATGCTGGACTAGATGGACCCTTACTGGTCTGATCCAGCAGGGCTCTTCTGAGGTTCTTCTCAGGGGAAGGCCTCGTCCTCTCTGCCCTCTTGTTGGCCCTCCAGAGGAACTGGTTGGCCCCTGTGCGAGACAGGAAGCTGGACTAGGTGGTTCCTCACTGGTCTGATCAAGCAGGGCTCTTCTTATGTTCTCATCAGGGGAAGGCCTCAGCCTCTCTGCCCTGTTGTTGGCCCTCCTGAGGAACTGGTTGGCTGCTATGTGAGACAGGATGCTGGACTAGAAGGACCCTCACTGGTGTGATCTAGCAGGGCTCTTCTTCTCAGAGGAAGGCCTCGGCCTCTGTGCCCTGTTGCTGGCCCTCCAGGGGAACTGGCTGCCCACTGCGTGAGACGGGATGCTGGACTAGATGAACCCCCAGTGGTCTGATCCAGCAGGGCTCTTCTGAGGTTCTTCTCAGGGGAAGGCCTCGGCTTCTCTGCCCTCCAGAGGAACTGGTTGGCCCCTGTGTGAGACAGGAGGCTGGACTAGATGGACCCTCACTGGTCAGATCCAGCAGGGCTCTTCTGAGGTTCTTCTCAGGGGAAGGCCTCGGCCTCTGTGCCCTGTTGGCCTTCCAGAGGAACTGGCTGGCCCCTGTGTGAGGCAGGATGCTGGACTAGATGGACCCTCACTGGTCTGACCCAGCAGGGCTCTTCTGAGGTTCTTCTCAGGGGAAGGCCTCGGCCTCTGTGCCCTGTTGGCCCTCCTGAGGAACTGGCTGGCCACTGTGTGAGATGGGATGCTGGACTAGATGGATCCTCACTGGTCTGACCCAGCAGGGCTCTTCTGAGGTTCTTCTCAGGGGAAGGCCTCGGCCTCTGTGCCCTGTTGGCCCTCCTGAGGAACTGGCTGGCCACTGTGTGAGATGGGATGCTGGACTAGATGGATCCTCACTGGTCTGACCCAGCAGGGCTCTTCTGAGGTTCTTCTCAGGGGAAGGCCTCGGCCTCTCTGCCCTGTTCTTGGCCCTCCTGAGGAACTGGTTGGCCACTGTGTGAGACGGGAGGCTGGACTAGATGGACCCTCACTGGTCTGACACAGCAGGGCTCTGCTTATGTTCTTAATGTGACTCTGTGGCAGTCAGATGTGTGCGGTTTTTAAGCCGCTCTGAGACTCCAAGTGAAGGGTGGGGTATAAATCCAATCTCCTCTTCTTCTCTGCTCCTCAGTCCCTTCCGTCATTGCCACACGCTTACCTCCCTCATTGGACGTTCTCCAACTTCAAAGCACTAAAACACAGATTGCGCTTTGCTCAGTTGACTTTTTGCCCTAGAAAGCAGGCTACCTTTGGCCGACTGATGCCGACTAGCCTCATCTCTTTGAAGCGGCAGAGTTGTGAGGGCTTCCTTCCCATCCAGCATTGCGGAGAGATGGCCATCTCGGGGCTCACCCTGAGTTTTTCTGCTGCTTTGTTACGATGCTGTTTATTGCTTAGCACCAAGAGAGGGCTGCTCAGAATGTGGAAGGATCAGAGTTGCTGTTAACCAAATTAGGCAGGGCTGGAGGAGAGGGTGTGCAGAGGGTAGAAGAAGGCTCGGGTTAGCGCAGGTTAGAAGAGGCAGCTGTCAAATGAAGATGACTCTTTCCATTCGAAGAACTGCGTCTCTCGGTATCAGAGAGCGAGAGCTGCTTATCCATATCTGTATGGAGTTTCCTCTTTCCTGGCCATCTTTGTCCCCCGTGTGGCTTTCAGGGTTGTCTGAACCTGCTTTTCACACAGGGCCTCCAGCTCCATGGACTGTGTGAAAGTGTCTATTGTCGGTAGCCACGCTGTTGTGGGCATGTATAAATTGGCTCACAGGGCAGATGGTTTATGGTGAAAGGACTGCAGTTACACCTCCGTGAGCACGTGTCATAAGAACATCAGAAGAACGCTGCAGGATCAGACCAAGAGTCCAGCATCCTGCCTCACACAGGGGCCAGCCAGTTCCTCTGGAGGGCCAACAACAGAGCATAGAGGCCGAGGACTTCATAAGAACATCAGAAGAGCCCTTGCCTGATCAGACTGGTGGTCCATCTAGTCCCAGCCTCCTGTCTCATACAGGTGCCAACCAGTTCCCCTGGAGGGCCAGCAACATGGCTTAGAGGCTGAAGCCTTCCCCTGATGCTTCCTCCTTGCTCTGGGATTCAGAGGTTCAGTGCTTCTGACTGTGGAGGTTCCCCTCAGTCACCATAGCTAGTTGCCATTGAAGAGAAGAAGAAGAGAAGAGATTGGATTTATACCCCGCCCTTCAGTACCCAAGGGAATCTCAGAGCGGCTCACAAACTCCTTTCCCTCCCCCTCCCCACAACAGACACCCTGTGAGGTAGGTGGGGCTGACAGACCTCTTGACAGAAACTGCTCTTTTTCAAGAACAGCTCTTATCAGAACTACGGCTTGCCCAAGGTCATCCAGCAGGTGCAAGTGGAGGAGTGGGGAATCAAACCCGGTTCTCCCAGATTAGTGTCCGTGCACTTAACCACTACACCACGTATCCTCCACGAATCTCTCTAATCCCCTTTTAAAGCTGTTTATCCCTGTGGCCACAGCAACATCTTCCAGCAGTGAATCCCACCTTTTAAACGCTCTCTCTGTGAAGTGGTATTTCCTTTTGTACGTCCTGAAGCCACTGCCCATCAGCTTCATTGAATGCCCCTGAGCTCCAGTATTTTGAGAGGGGGAGAAAAATATCTCTTTTCCAACTCTCTCCATCCCATGCATAATTTTATGCCCACGCCCCCCAGTCGTGTCTTTTCTAAACTGAAAAGTCCCAGATGCTCTTCAGCCTTTCCTCCAACCCCCTCATCATCTTGATTGCCCTCAGGTGTACTTTTCCCAGCTCTGCAGTGCCCTTTGGGAGAGACAGTGACCAGAATTCACATAGTGTTCCAAATGAGGCCGCACCATAGATCTCTACAGGGGGCGTTGCAGCATCGACTGTTTGATTCCCAATCCCTTTCTTGTGTCCCTCCAGCTCTCCGGCTGAGAAGAAGAGCCCCCCTTCCTCTACCTTGCTTCTGAAAAGCCGCTATTGTCTCAGGAAAAGGAACTCCCCCTGGGGGAAGTCCCCCTCCCCCACTGCCAGGAAGTCCGGGGCCAAGGGCCTGGTCCAAATCGGCAAGCACCGCCTGCGCAGGCTGCCGGCACCCAGGTTCCACGTTGCTGCCAAAGAAGGTAGGTGCAGAACCGGAAATGGACGAGTTCTTTGTGCGCCAACAGCGGCCTCTCTGACTCTAAGGGAGATTGTGTCAGCTGAGCCTCTGGCATTGTTGCCTTGGCTGGTGGTGGTCGTGCTGGTGGGGAAGATGTTGGTCTGCCTCTGTACTGGAATCTTAGGTTTCGTTTCTTCTATGCTCTTCTTATCTATGCAGCCTCAGCTAGTGACCTTGGTACCTTGTTACAGGTTTCCCCTGGGAATGTCGACCCGTTAGCTTAGGCGGGCTTTTGCTGATGCCCTGATTGGACCTCGGCCATCAAGGGACCCCTTTGAATTGTGTATAACTTCTCGCTGGGCGTGCTTTCCACTAGTTCTAACACAGAATGTATGCACAGAAGACCTGCCTTTACTGTACTCAATAAACTTTACTTTTCTGAATGAAAGTTGTTGGGAACTGATTGCTGCGGGGATCTGACGGAGTGTTTCATGTTGTCACATGTTGGTCTGAGGAGGAGAGGCAGGCTCCAAGGGAGAGCTGGCAGCGGTTTGGAAATTAGCTAGTTGGACGAGAATCCGCGTTCAAATCCCCACTCTGCCTGGGTTAACCTCGTGCCGGTCACTGTGGATGGATGGAGGTTCTGTGTTTTGTCTGGGCCCGCTCCAGTTGTTGGAAAGCTCGCGAGGTTCTCTCTGTAGCCAAGGTGCGGCGTCCTGCTTATTTGGGAGACGGTTTTACCTTTAAAACACTCTCTGTCATCCTAAACTTTGTAGACTGCTGCTGCCACCAGGAATTAAAAAATCTAAATCTCTCTCTTTTGGTAGTATGACCCAGGGTCTGGGCACTTCAGAGAACTATGTGGCCCTGAGGAAAGACTGTTCTGATTTCTGGGATAAGTTTAAACAAAAAACGATTTCTTTAATAAAGAACGAAATAGATCTCTGGTTGTTTTGAACTGTTGCCGATGAAAGGAACTTGTAAATGTAACTGGCAAAGCTTGGTGTCATAAACAGTCTCTCAGACTCCCAAAACGCCACTCTGACAGGCATAGACACTCAGTCTAATCTGTCTCTCTCTCATATATATAGCCTGGATGGAGCCTCAGTCTCCTGTTACTTTAATTTCTATAGTAGTTAGCCCCTATAGTTGAATCTTTGGTTCGGTTTCCCAGGAGATTTCAGAACACCACTGGTGCTGCGGCCTTCTCTGTACATGACTTTTGCCTTAGAGGATGTTTATACATTCTAGAAGTTCGTGGTGTAACTATCAGAGTCAAAATGGAGAGGGTGTCTGAAACTAGCTTCCTGGACCCTCCTTGACTTTCTGTGAGCTTCCTGATCCCAGAGATAGAGAGAAAGGAGGGGGGGATTTGAGTTGGTACCAATGCTCCCTCTAAGCTGTGGGGTCTTGTGAGCAAAAATTCTACTTTGTGAGCTACTGGCATTAAAGATGAGCGAGCGATTTGGCTGCTGCATAGATCAGTTTGCTCTGGAGCCCTCCTTCCTGAGCTGAGACAAAAAGGTGTGAGCCGGAGGCTAAAAAACTGTAAGCTAGCTCACACTAACTCAGCTTAGAGGGAACACTGGTTGGTCCATCGGGTCAGTTCTAATCAGTTCTGGTTTGGCCTGCGTCACATCCATGGTAGTCCTACGTGATTGGCACATCAGTAGCTATAGGTCCAAGAATGATATAAACCTCTAGTTTACTAAAGGTAGGCACTGGCCACCAACAGCGCCATCTGAGACCTTGGTGTCTAGTCCAGAACGTTCTGAGTTTTACACAAGTATTGGGTTGAAATACACTATGTTGAATATTGAAATGTTGAATATTGAAGTGGTACGAAGTGTTTTCTTTAGTTGTTGTGGATTTTCCGGGCTGTGTGGCCATGGTCTTGGCATTGTAGGACCTGACGTTTTGCCAGCAGCTGTGACTGGCATCCTCGGAGGTATCACACAGAAAGATGGAGTACTCTCTGTGTCAAGGTGAGAAGAAAAACAGTAGGCAGGTAATTTATATCTACTCAGGAAGGTGGGTAAAGTGTTTTCTGTCTTTAAGAGTGGTTAATGGAATAAACTGAGCTTTGTTTAAGAACTGCGGTCTCTCTCTATACTAGATCCAGTCTCTTGCCAGCCTCTACCCAACCAGTGAAAGAACTCAGGGGGACTGGGGGGGTCCCAGGAAAAGTCCTGGGTTCTTGAATCCCTCAACAGTGCCCCTCAAAATAGGTCAGTGAAAAGCCCTGCCCTCCTAGAAGGGAAGGAGAAGGTGTCCTTTGCTCCTCAAAACATGTAAGTGAAAAGCCCTGGCTTCTTAGAGGGGAAAGCAAAGGTGCCCTTTGCCCCTCAAAGCAGATCAGTAAAAAGCCCTGTCCTTCTAGAAGGGAATAGTGAAGGTGCCTTTTGCCCCTCAAAACATGTCAGTGAAAAGCCCTGGCCTCTTAGAAGGGAAGGCAAAGGTGCCCTTTGCCCCTCAAAACATGTCAGTGAAAAGCCCTGGCTTCTTAGAGGGGAAAGCAAAGGTGCCCTTTGCCCCTCAAAGCAGATAAGTAAAAAGCCCTGTCCTTCTAGAAGGGAATAGTGAAGGTGCCTTTTGCCCCTCAAAACATGTCAGTGAAAAGCCCTGGCTTCTTAGAGGGGAAAGCAAAGGTGCCCTTTGCCCCTCAAAACATGTCAGTGAAAAGCCCTGCCCTCCTAGAAGGGAAGGAGAAGGTGTCCTTTGCTCCTCAAAACATGTAAGTGAAAAGCCCTGGCTTCTTAGAGGGGAAAGCAAAGGTGCCCTTTGCCCCTCAAAGCAGATTAGTAAAAAAGCCCTGCCCTTCTAGAAGGGAATAGTGAAGGTGCCTTTTGCCCCTCAAAACATGTCAGTGAAAAGCCCTGGCCTCTTAGAAGGGAAGGCAAAGGTGTCCTTTGCCCCTCAAAACAGGTCAGTGAAAAGCCCTGCCTTTCCTAAAAGGGAATGGTGAAGGTACCTCTTGCCCCTCAAAACATGTCAGTGAAAAGCCCTGGCCTCTTAGAAGGCAGTGAAAACCCCTGCCTTTCCTAAAAGGGAATGGTGAAGGTACCTCTTGCCCCTCAAAATATATCAGTGAAAAGCCCTGGCTATTTAGAGGGGAAGGCAAATGTGCCCTTTGCCCCTCAAAGCAGATCAGTAAAAAGCCCTGTCCTTCTAGAAGGGAATAGTGAAGGTGCCTTTTGCCCCTCAAAACATGTCAGTGAAAAGCCCTGGCCTCTTAGAAGGGAAGGCAAAGGTGCCCTTTGCCCCTCAAAACATGTCAGTGAAAAGCCCTGGCTTCTTAGAGGGGAAAGCAAAGGTGCCCTTTGCCCCTCAAAGCAGATAAGTAAAAAGCCCTGTCCTTCTAGAAGGGAATAGTGAAGGTGCCTTTTGCCCCTCAAAACATGTCAGTGAAAAGCCCTGGCTTCTTAGAGGGGAAAGCAAAGGTGCCCTTTGCACCTCAAAGCAGATTAGTAAAAAAGCCCTGCCCTTCTAGAAGGGAATAGTGAAGGTGCCTTTTGCCCCTCAAAACATGTCAGTGAAAAGCCCTGGCCTCTTAGAAGGGAAGGCAAAGGTGCCCTTTGCCCCGCAAAACAAGTCAGTGAAAACCACTGCCTTTCCTAAAAGGAAATGGTGAAGGTACCTCTTGCCCCTCAGAACATGTCAGTGAAAAGCCCTGGCCTTTTAGAGGGGAAGGCAAGGGTGCCCTTTGCCCCTCAAAGCAGATCAGTGAAAACCCCTGCCTTTCCTAAAAAGGGAATGGTGAAGGTACCTCTAGCCCCTCAAAACATGTCAGTGAAAAGCCCTGGCCTCTTAGAAGGGAAGGCAAGGGTGCCCTTTGCCCCTCAAAACATGTCAGTGAAAAGCCCTGCTCTTCTAGAAGGGAATGGTGAAGGTGCCCTTTGCCCCTCTTTAGGCAGGCTGTGCCACAGGATTGGAGCAGCGGCAGTCGGCCTGTTCTCTCATGGGTCAGTAGAGGCTTGGTGTTTTGCATGGGGTCTTAACTTAATTTTTTATGTAGTTGTAAAGATGTTGAGTGGCTTATGTGCAAAAAGGTAAAGAACGTTGCCTTTTTATGTGCAGCCTTATGGTCTGTGTACTTTCTTGTGGCGATGTTGTGCACATTTCTTACTATGGGCTGCTGCTGGGTTTCTCAGTGGACAGCGTGTGAGTCAGGGACACAGAAGCCTGGTGCTCCTTTTGGGCACTGCTGTAACTTGCCCGTGGGAACCCAGAATGCCCGTTCATTAACCTCTCAGTGTTCTTGAGCTAAAACGGATGCAATGCTGGGAGTGTCATTCAGAGTCTTTCCCAAGTGGTGTTTCTTTTCACCTTGTAAAACAATCAGTGTGCGGGTCTCTGCTTTGGCTTGGGCGGTTATTATTATTTTTAAAAACAAATGCCCGGGAACTCCATGCACTGAACTCCCCGTAGCACAGGAAGACATGTGCTTCCCTAGCTGGTGGCAGTAAATCAGAAACGCAAATTTAGATCCTCTGGGAAGCTGAGAGCATCGTCTCTCTTCTTCATCCCCAGTCTTTTTGGCATTTCTTTTGGGCAGCTTCATGAGGGAACTGGATAAACGCAGGGGTCATTTCCTGCAGGAGCGCACAGGAGCGGAGCTCTGGGCAGTAAAGAGCCCAGGGGGCGGGCACATGCAACAAGCCCCGCCCCCTGCTCCCAGCAGCCCTCAGTCAGAGCAAGAAGCAGCCAGGTAAGCTGCAGAGTCCCCCCCGGTTCAAAACAGTCCAGTGGCACCTTTAAGACCAAGTTTTA